AAAAGATGGAAAGAAAAGTAGAGTCCAACTGTGGGTTGAATGCTGGACAATAGCATGTTTTCTCACTGTTTTCTTGAAACACTCTTGAGTGGGCGTTATCCACGTATACAGATGTGGAAATGAGGATTTGTCCAAAATCTAAACGGCAGCATAGTGGTAGAGGTAGGACTTGGGTTCACGTTTGCCTTATTGCAGGTTGTCTTTCCCTCGTACCACGCTGCCTCTGTAGAGGTGGTGTCCATCGTATTCACAACTGTCTGCCCAAAGATCTTGTTCTTTTCTGTGCCGAGCAACTGCTGGGAAGGAGCATATTCAACAGTAGAGCTCAGGTGGATTAAGAGTCCAGGTGTCCTTCAGTACCACCTTTCACCATCCATACATGCTCTCTATACTCTCACCGTCTAAGTCGATGAAAGAACAGCCTAGAAGCCTGTAGAAACGGGAAAGGGTAGTGGTCACCAAGAGTCTGTTGCATGATGCTTATGGCCTTTGGTTCTGTCAGAAGCTCAATCTGTGTCCCACTCTGTTCATACAACGAGGGGTCTGGGAAATGGCTGAAAGCAGTCTGAGAGGGCCCGGCCCCATGGCTGAGTGGTTAAGTTTGCACGCTCCTGCTTTGATGGCCCCAAATTTCGCTGGTTGGAATCCTGGGCGCGGACGTGGCACCACTCATCAAGCCATGCTGAGGCGGTGTCCCACATGCCACAATTAGAAGGACCCACAACTAAAAATATACAACTATGTACTTGGGGGCTTTGGGAGAAAAAGGAAAAATAAAATCTTTTAAAAAATAAATAAAAATAAATAAAAGCAGTCTGGGAAAGAGATGAGTAAACAGATGCCATAATTGTCTTCCAATATTTGACCACCCCAGAAAAGAGGAGGTAGTCCTGTCTGACAATGAGGAGATACTGGGGCAAATGTCAGCTTAGGAATAGGAAGGACTTTCTTACTCCCAGAAGCGTCTGAAGACAGTGGACTGCGTTAGGAAACAGCGGATGCTCTGAGGAGCATGGGCCCAAAGACCGTTTGGCGAGGAGGTTCAAGATGGAGAGGAGTTGTCGTTCTGTGTGGCGGCTGGCCTTAGTGATCTTTGAGGTTCTTTGTAGCTCTGAGCATCTAAGACTTTTATGTGGTTTTGTTTGTTATCAGATATCCACAGATGTGATACGCTCATTTTGCTCTTACTATTTTTTTTTTTAACTTTTTATTCTTTTCTAGAATCATGTAAGAAATTAGTAAGAAAACACTCCTGTTACAGAGAATATTCCTGATCTTTGGGATCCTGGGTCATTTTTGCTTAATATAAATATGGTGCCCCCTGGGCAGCCTCTGACCATTGCTCTGTGTGTGCTGGATCATTAGGCCACTGTGAATGACTATTTCAGTGTCCTCTGAGTGGGTCTAAACAGTCATTTAAGAAATTTAGTGCATGGGGATCTGGTCCCCTCAGCCCTTTGTCAGGTGATTTAGAAAACGCTTTACACTTTAAATGAAGTAAATTGACTATAGGAGTTTCTTTCTACTGATTTTATGCCCACCACTGTCATCTCAGCTATACATTTGGAAACAAATGATACATATTCTGCCAACTTTTAAAATTTTAATGGGAATCTTTTAGTTTGACTGAACACCCTGCTTTCCTGCAGGCCATCTGAAGCCAGAGGAATTGATCTGATAAAGTGGCAGCCAGCTGAGTGCCACGTTTATTTAATTTAGAGCAATAAATGTGACGGTGACGAGGTGTTCCCCTAGGGACCCACTCAGATGGGTGCACATGTCCTGTGGAGTTAGAAGGCAAGGGGATGCGGGGCCATCTCAGAGGACATCAAATGCAGGAGTTAATTCTGCTCACTGTAGAAGGAGGCTGCCCTTCTGCCCGGCAGATTCCAGTCAGTCCCTCATTCACAGAACCTCTGCCCTGCGCGCTCTTGTTACAAGTGTTGTCCTGGCAAGAGAACAAAGCATCCTCCTAAAGCTGCCTCCCGTATTTCAAGAGACTGCAGTCAGCTCTGCTTTCATCCTCATGTGTCTCTTTCATCCTGTCACTATTATTATTGCAGTAACGTTTATTATTTCCTGTGTGCTAGGTGTTAGGTTAAGTGCTTCACCTGCATTATCTTATGTAATCCCATAATAGACTTAGAAAGAGAATGTTATTATGATCCTCGTGGATAAAGGAGGAGACTGGGGCTCAGGGGCATCATTTACTTGACCAAAGAGAATAAGTGATGGAGCTGGGAAGAATCCAGGGCTGATGGTGGAGCCCACTCTGTTGGTCACTCTGTTGTGCTGCCCATTATTTTGTTCAATTGAATTATTTAAATCAAAGAGCTAAGCATGTGCCAAAGAACATTGTTAGAAAATTTGAGTACCTGTTAACCTCTGACCCCATCTTCTGTCAACAGAAGCACCATAATTTGTGTGTATGTGTATCTGTTTAAACAAATTGCTTATTTGTACCATGACTTTGTGAAGATGCTCTCAATCCTTTGCTAAACACCACAACCTGAGACAAGTTCAGCAACAACCTATGGAGTGGTTCGATTGTCCCTGTGGCTGTGAAATGAGGGAAGTAAGTCAATAATGCGTATTAAGTTTCAATGATACTAAAGAGGCCACTCTTGAATAACAAAACGTCTAAAAATGCAACCCCGTGGAATTCAATAATATGCCAGGCCATTCGAGAAGAAGTATGTCTCAGTCTCTTCCTTCTTCCTACCCTTCTCAAACAAAATGCAGTAAAGGAGATCAGAAAGATAATATTCAAATATGATATCAATAATTTCAATGACAGTTTCCCCATCCCTAGGAGATAACTCGTACATTATGTGATCAGAACTTGGTGAGTTTTTTGCCATTTGTGTTAACAGTTTTTAAAACTTCAGTTCAGGCACCTGAGTGCCTAGCAGTGCTGAGCTCTCACTCCGAAGGCTCGCTAACGTGAACGGAGTGGCTGAATGCCGCGTTTAGAGGTGGGACTTCTGGGTCAAGCAGCTGAAAGGACTAACAAGGAAGAGAGTAGGTAACATCTTATTTTGAAATAATTTCAAACTTACAGACAAGTTGCAAGAATAATACAAAGAACTCTCATATATCCTTGATGGAAATTCACCATTTATTTTACCTCTTTCTTTCTACACACACATGCATTTGTGCACACGTGCCTGTTTCTGAACCATGTGAGAGTAGGAATCATACATCATTGTCTTTTTTTTTTTTTTTTTTGATGAGGAAGATTGTCGCTGAGCTAACATCTGTGCCAATCTTCCTCTATTTTATGTGGGATGCCACCACAGTGTGGCTTGATGAGCAATGCTAGGTCTGCGCCCAGGATCCAAACCTGTGAATCCCAGGCCACTGAAGGGGAGCACGCAAACTTAACCGCTATGCCGCCGAGCCAGCCCCACATCGTGTCTTTTTTTGCACCTTTATACTGTAGTGTATGTTTCCTTAGAGATATTCTGTTACTTAACCATAGTTTAGTTATGAAATTCAGGAAATTTAACATTGAAATAGTACTTTTATCTATTCTACCTTCCATATTCAAATGTTATCAATTATCCTAATAATATCCTTTAATAGCACCTTTCCACTTCAGTGCAGAATCTAGTCCGTGATCATATATTGCATTTAATTGTCATGCCTCTTTAGTCTCCTTTTATTGGGAACAGTTCCTCAGTCTGTCTTTCTCTTTGATAAAATTGGCACTGTTAAAGAATACAGGCCAATTTTTAAAAATAAGATGTTCTTCATTTTAGGATTGTCTGATGCTTCCTTATGATCAGACACAGCTTGTCTATCCCTGGCCAGCACACAGCAAAAACGACCGTGTCTTGTTCATGGTATATTACATCCCGAGGCACACGCAGTCCTCTGACTCTCACTAGTGATTAATGGGCTCATCTGGTCAATGGGCTGTCTAGGTTCTCTGCTGCATTGTTAGCATTTTCCCCTTGACAACCGATAAGCTTTGTCTTCAAACATTTCCAGTCTTTAGGGACAGAGACAAAACTAAGTGTTGATAACGGAGAATCCAGAAGTGTAGTGCTTTCAAGTGTCAAAATATCTTGATGATAAGTCATAAAATCATAGTATTTTATAATGAATGGGGGTCTTTAAAATTGACGAATTTGTGTGATTTAAAAAATTTTAATAGACTTTATTTTTTAGAGCACTTTTAGATTCACAGCAGAATTGAGCAGAAAGTAGAGTTTCCCCTCATACACACACACACACACACACACACAACTTCCCCTACTATCAACACCCCTCCAGAGTTGTCCATTTCTTAGAATCAATTAATCTACATTGAAACATCATTATGACTGAGAGTCTGGAATTTACATTAGGGTTCACTCTTGGTGTTATTCATTCTAAATGTGTTCTTTAAAAGTCAATTTTAGGGGCTGGCCCCATGGCTGAGTGGTTAAGTTGGCATGCAAGCCCAGGGTTTCGCCAGTTTGGATCCTGGGTGCGAACATGGAACCACTCATCAAGCCATGCTAAGGTGGCGTCCCACATGCCACAACTAGAAGGACTCATAACTAGAAATATACAGCTATGTACTGGGGGGTCTTTGGGGGAAAAAGGAAAAATAAAATCTTAAAAAAAAAAAAACGTCAATTTTAGGGGCCAGCCTGGTGATGCAGCAGTTAAGTTCACACATTCTCCTTCGGCAGCCTGGGCTTCAGCTGGTCGCACCACTTGTCAAGCCATGCTGTGGCAGGCATCCCACATAGAAAGTAGGGGAAGATGGGCACGGATGTTAGCTCAGGACCAGCCTTCCTCAGCAAACAGAGGAGGATTGGTGGCAGATGTCAGCTCAGGGCTAATCTTCCTCAAAAAAAAAAGTCAATGTTAGAGTGTACATTTGCTATGCTCAAAGTATTCAGGGCTGTTACTTTTCTAAGTTCTTTTGTAAGAAACACATTTCTCTGTATCTTGTTTTAATTATGCCCCTTCCTTTATTCCTTTTTATAATGATTATATCTTTATAGTTTACTTCACTTTAAGGTCAGCATTTACCATCATGTCAGCAGAGAGAGAGAAGCTGAAGCAGCTGATGGAGCAGGATGCCTCCTGCACCCCGTCTGCTCAGGTCATTGGTCTGAAGCACGCCCTGTCATCCGTAAGTTCCACATCTGTGTCACGGGAATGCCTGACAATGTGTCCAGGCCCACACATTTTTTATATTTTCCATCTCCATAGTTGTGTTGAAAATTCATGATTTCCATGGCCGTGTTGAAAATTCATGAGAAAACCAAACAAAGTATCCAAATTATATTCTAACCTTTCATGAGGTCTGCTCGTTCCAAACACCAAAACTGAGCCCACCCCAAGTCTTACTAGCTAATATTTTATTGAGCATTAAGTACTTTAACTTTGGTTCCCTCCTCTTTATCTTGATTTTTCTGTTTCTGTAAAGCTTTTGTTTTGTGTGTGTCTTACAGACATTTGTCTGTTTATGCTTATAAAATCTGATGGTTTGGAGATTTCTGTACCTAAGGCTTCACAAGCTTAGATTGACTTTCCAAATGACAGGGAGCAGAGTGAAATTTTGAACTCACACATTACTGAGCCTATCTACCACTCTTTCAAAGATATGAAAGTTATTTTATTTGATTTAATACTACAAACATTTAGCTTTTTTCCCCCCTATGGACACAAAGAGATGAGTCATACAGAATGTCAGGCAATCATTATGCCTTCACAGCATCAAAGGAATCACTGTCAAGCCTCAGATCTTTTTCAGTAAGCTGTTCTGTCATTTGTTCACTCTCCTTTCTTCATCGATTCCCTTTGGGCTGCATTGAAGTCCATTATCCTAGAACTCTGTTTTGAATACCTGACGTTGTCTGGTTGCTCACTCTGGATCTGTCAAAAAGCTGGAGAACTTTTAAAATAGCCTGCTTATGTGCTACTACTCTTTGCTTGTTTTGGAATTCCTCCCATAAAAAGAGTGTGTGAGCACATGTGAAATTGCCATCTGAAGCAATGCTGAACTTTCTGTTTAGGGTCAGGTAGGGGAGATGGATTTTAGGATCTTGTTTTCAGAAGCTAATTCAGGCTTTGAGAGAACTAGAAAATATCCATTCATGTTTTCAATTCATCATGTTACGGAGAAAAGTAAAGTAATTCTTTTTTTTTTTTAAAGATTGGCACCTGAGCTAACAACTGTTGCCAATCTTTTTTTTTTTTCCTGCTTTATCTCCCCAAATTCCCCCCAGTACATAGTTGGATATCCTACCTGCAGGTCCTTCTAGTTGTGGCATGTGGGACGCCACCTCAGTGTGGCCTGACGAGCGGTGCCATGTCCACGCCCAGGATCCGAACCTGGGCCGCCGCAGCGGAGCGTGCGAACTTAACCACTTGGCCACAGGGCTGGCCCCAAAGTAATTGTCTTAGTGTAATGCTAATGATAAATATATTACCAGTGGTACATGTTGTTGTTGTAGAATACTTGAGGAATATTCACTCAGTTGAAAATTCCAAGTATGTTATCTTTGAAAGAAAGAAAGAATAACCCAGGGACTGGCCCCGTGGCCGAGGGGTTAAGTTCACGAGCTCCGCTGCCACGGCCCAGGGTTTTGCTGGTTCAGATCTTGGGCGTTGACATGGCACCACTCATCAGGCCACACTGAGGCGGCATCCCACATGCCACAACCAGGAGGACCTGCAAGTAAGATAGAGAGCTATGTACTGGGGGGATTTGGGGAGATAAAGAAGGAAAAAAAAACATTGGCAACAGTTGTTAGGCCAGGTGCCAATCTTTAAAAAAAAAAAACAAAGAAAGAATAACTTGCATAGAGTCTTAATGTTGTCTGCCTTGAGATGCTCCAAGTTCTTTAAGGTCAGACACGGGAACATCCCCTTTTGGATTGTAGTAGACAGCCAGCCATACAGTGGGTCCTTCTTTGGTTTGAGAGAAGCAAGGTGGTTCCTTTTTTGTTTTTAAAGTTTATTTTTTAGTGGTAAAGCATTTCTTACTGTTCCCAGTAGGTTGGCTTTTAGTGCATTTAGAAGATACCTCTGATGGGCTCCCCAAAGTCCCTTTCACTGTGGTTTTCCTCTCCGCTGCCCTCCTCCCATGCAGGTCTGGTCCCATCTTGTTCATCTGCTTGTCTGGTGGAGGCCACGGAGACCCATTTGGCCGTGGTGTCCTAGGCCAAAGTTGTTACCTTTGCTAAGGAATTCACTCTCTCCCACGTTCAGGGTTTTGAAAATTTAAGATAAAACAGAATGATCCTTTCTTTTCTTTTTGGCTTGGATTCTTGATTAGATTCAAGACTTGTTTTTTAAAAATAAAATTTTTAGAGTCATCTCAGGGCTATCAGAATGGATATGTTTATGCTGTATCTGTCATCTTGGTATTTCTCCTTCTTCTGCCTGTGGCTTACCAAGGAAAGAGAAGCTTTTTTCAGGCCATACTAGGATTCTAGCCTCTGCTATAGGTTCCAGCCGCTTATATATACTAAGATATCAGTGACATATTGGCCAGAATAAAGTGAGTGCCCCGTGGAGATTGTTACATATAGGTGGGTGAATTAAGAAACATTTGCTCTGTTTCCTAAATAATCTTCAGGAATTTCCAAATAACCCATTCCATCCATAGTTACTGAAAAATAAAGCCAAAATCCGTGTTTGAGATCCAGGCAGTGGATTAGCCAGTGCCACATCCTTCTGCGCTCTCAGCAGGTAGACCTGTGGGCCCTGATGGCTGGGAAAGGCTCTGAGCTTTTTGGAAGAGAGTCAGGAAGACAAACAGATAGGATGGATCTGTGTGCAAGCACCTGGGGAGCTGACTGTGGCAGCATCTGGGGGATAATCAGACAAACTTTCCAAGACAGATCATCTGGAGAAGAGTTGATGCACAGGATCCCAGCATGAAGGAAGCATCTCCCTTTACCTTCAAGCTAGTTCCTTCCTAGTTGGGAGGCTGGGATAGGGAATCAGACCTGCCCGGGGAGAAATAAAAAGAGGTCCGGGGTGGGCTCACGTGTGCCCACATCTCACACCTACCCCCCATTTTCAGGGCCCTGGTCCTTAGCCTTTATCCAGGTAAGTGAAAGTGAGTTGTTTTTTTTAAAAATCAAATATCTTAGTCATGAAGAATGAATGAAACAGTTTTCCACCTATATTGGAAAATAATAAAATTAATCCTCCACAACATCCTGCTTCCCAGCATACTTCCTAGGATCCAGTTCCACTGGTGTGGAAATTATATTACATTAAAATATGTCCAGTGGTAAGGGGTGGGAGCAGCATCTTCTTTAAAGATGAGGAAGCTTCGGATCATGAGGAAGGAGGTAGCGAAAGAGACTACCAGCAGCCAGGAAGGAGGAGGGGCTGTGAAACCCCCAGTCATAGTAAGAGCTGAAGGTGTTTGAGATGCCCTCTCCCCCGAAAGGAAAGCCCTACTGATTCCTCCTGCCATCTCTGGAAATGAGATTAGAGAAGGGCCGTGCCTTCCAGAATTTAATACCTTTTATCTCCCAGGCATCTCAGAGCCAGTATCCTCTTAGATAGCATTCAAGGGAAAAGTGCAGGAAACGCCCCCTCCGGGCTCCGTCACACTGGGCCCACTGCTGTGCTTGTCTGAAACATCTATTTATTAACGGAGCCCCACTATTTTTAACATGTTCCAGGCCCTAGCCCAAAACACAGATCTTAAAGAACGCTTATGCAGAATCCATGCTGAGTCTCTGCTCCTCGACCCTCCTGCTGCTGCCAAGTCGGGTGACACCCTGGCAGAGGTGGGTAAGACTTCTTGTCTGGTAAGGTCTTGCCACCGCCACCCCCTCCCATGTTGCCCTCCGCCCAGTCGCTCGGTCTCCATGCTTCTCCCTCTCGGGGGTGCTCACATCGTACCTGCCTCCCACCGCTGCTGCCGGGCCTGGGAGCTGCTGGTTCCAAGGCTTTCTTGGGAATATGCTGTTAACTGCTGTTTGTCTTCAAAACTCTTCTTCCCTTGGTGTTTCTTTACCCCGTATTCCTCCTCAGTATCGCGCTTTTCGCCAGGTATTGCTGGAGTGGGAACTGGAGAGAGACGAGCACTTTCTCCTTTTGCTTCTGAAGAAACCTGAATTTCTCTGAGCCCCAGTCCCGATTCTGTGCCCGCGTCCTCTGCTCCCTCCGTGAGAACCACTCTCCTTTCCTGTGGCTGTTCCCTTCTCCCTTTCCTGGGATTTTTTTTTCCTTTTAAAAAGCACAGCTGTACACTCTGAGGGGAAAAAAAAATAGTGTATTACAGTTGAAGTGTGTCAGTCAGTTCATAGTATGTTAAAAATGTCTTTTCTCAACACTGGGGATGTTTATCCAAAATATTCTTCGAATGTGTTTAATATGAGAAATTTCAGAAAACTATAACTGGATTACTTGAAAAGTAAGTAGAAAAGGGTAATAAGGGTTAAAACTGTTTTTAGCTGTCTCTTATATTTGTGTGCCTGCCTTGGATGTGCTAAATTTTTTATTAACAAGTTTATTAGACTGAGTGCATTTAAAAAAAAATAGGGAAGGTAATATACAACAGGTGTGTGTGTGCGTGTAAATTTTTAAAAGGCGTTGCTAATGTTTAATCTTAGTCCATCTTTTTCCTTTTCCTGTCCTCAAAGAAAATAAAACTCTCACATAATACCTTCCCCCGCTCCGGGGAGGGGAGTTGTGTCGGGTCACGTGAAGACCAGGGGCTGAATCAGTCAGTGCACAGCCCGCGAGGCCCTGGCATCCACAGCCGTGTGCATTACAGGCTGTGCCTCCTGCTGACGGACCCTCTCTCCTGATGGGGGAGTTACCCGCTCTGCAGAGGCCGCAGGCTTCTTATTTCTTCTACACACATGTCGCTTGACTGAAATTCCTCTACACACGCACTACCCCCAAGAGATCTTTTCAGTCATTTTAGCCCAAACCTAACCTGAGTCTCCTGCAGGATTGAGCATCCAAACATTACCTGTGGTGGCCTTCATTTTAGGCCTGGGCAAAGACATATGCTTACCGGATGAGCTCTCTTTTGAATCTGCACATTGGCTAAAGCAGGGCCCCGTTGCCATGACCGACCATCACTGAGGGATGTTTGCTGCCAAACGCCAAGGCATTCCACGGGGTTTCATGTCTGTTTCCAGGCAGTGCTTACCTTTTAAAGAGCATTATCACATAATTACGTTGATGCATTAGCAAGTTGTTAAATAGGTAAATGGCAAGTTGACCCTTCATTTATGGTTTTATGAATTTATGCTCAGTGTATATACTTGGGGCTGTTTGTGTTTTTGAAAGGAAAGCAAAACCAGTCTTTAAAACGCATGTTTTTGAATTGCTCTCACAGGTAGTGTAGCTGAAGGCTTACCTGCTGTAAACGGTCCCTGAGGGGGAGCAGTTGCATCTCTCACCCTCACACCCGCCAGAACGGCTTTCTAGACCCTTGACTTGAGGCTGCAGTTGTGCGGTTGACCTGGTTCCTCTTCAGGGACTTTCTGTTTTCCGTGTTTCCGCCTGCTTCTCACCAAGTGACTCAGGCTGACTTTCCCGCGCAGGGAAGAGCCGTTGTTGCCGTCAGGAAACAAGAGTGAGTGGGAATGGCCGCCCCAGAGCCTCAAACCTGGACTGCAGTTTACTTTTCTTAGGCAGCTTACGGGCACCTCAAACATCAGGAATGTCGGTCCCCACAGTGGGCAGCCCGGCGGCTCTGTCTTCGGGCCTCTGTTCCTTGCTTTCCTTCTGGTCCATTTGAGCTGCGCACGTTGGCCATCTTGGAGCCGGACCTGACTGCTTGGGTTCTACGGTTCCCCCTCTTCTAGCAGAAGTGGCTCCCACATCATCTCAAGTCCTCCTCCTTTACATTTCTGAATGCGGACATTTAATTATCAGCTTGTTAGTTCTTTTTTTCTATTATTTATATTCCAAGTGAAAGGCTAGGTGGCTTTGGGATAACATCCTACTAAATCTAAAGTTCACTGAAGAGACTAAATAGGCAAGAACTTTAAAGAGAAGTCTAAAAGAAGAAGGGAACTTAATTCTTTTAATTGCCTGTTTGCTAATCCATATGCATTTGAATGCATTATCTCACAAAATCCTGACCACAGCTCTATGAGATAAGTGATGCTAGTTTATTTTAGAGACAAGGAAACTAAAGCCCAGAGGGGTTAAGTAACTTCCTCCAGGGCACACAGCTAGTAAGAGAGAGAGAGAGCTGGGATTTAAGTCCAAATCTAAAGAGTCCAAAGCACTTGTTTTCACAATAGCATCACCCTGCTGTATAGTGAGGAAAGACATCCCAAGCCAGAAAATAAAAAACAGAGTGAAGCTCATGGTGAAAATACGGTGGTGATGGTGTAAGAATGGGACAGAATACCTATCTCAGGCATAAACACCATTACTGTATAAAAGAAAGAAACGTGATAGAAGAGACTCAAAAAGCAATGGGAACGAGATGGATTTTTCAGTGAGTTAGGTTGGCATAACTCAAAAGCAGTTTGGAACACAGTTTAAATTTTACCATTACACACTAAGATGAATTGCCAGAGAATTAGAGTTAAATATAAAAATTCAAACTGGAAAATATTGATTTAAATATTTATCAAATGGCTGGAGTAGGGAACACTTCCTAAATTTGGAAGCAATAGGAAAAATTACAAAACAAATATTGACTAAATTTGACTTTGTTTTTCAGGGGGGAAAAAGATGTTTGTGAAAAAATAGAGAGGCAAATAATAGACTAGGAAAAATGTTTTCAGTGAAAATGTCAGATTCAGATAATACTAAATAGGTGGTAATATCTTAATAATTAATAGCAAGCGACTTAAGACCTCAAAAAATAAATGGAAAAAAAACAATTCACCAAAAAAACCCCAAAAACAGATAGTTTTTTTTTAACTTTTTATTTTGCAATACTTATAAGTTCAGAGGAAAGTGCAGAGAAATGCTGAGGGAGGTCCCATGCACCCTGACCTAGCCTCGCCCAATGTTAACATCTCTACAGCTAGTTTTTTAAAAAGGAAAAAATGTTCAACCTAATTCTTAACAAAGAAATATGAATTAAAACAATGAGATTAGCACAAAATTTTTCTAAATGATAGTATTTGGTGCCCTTAAGAAACAGAGGTTCTCTTACTTGTAGATGTAGTTAGGTGATATATAGTTTGCCTTAAACGTTTCCAACACTCTGCTTCTGAGAACTGATTCTAAGAACTAATGTGCAACAAGCAAAGACGTGTTTGCAAACATGCTCGCCATCTTTACAAATTTGGAAGCACCCTTAGTTTCCAATAAATGAAATGGTTACCCTATGACACACATGTATAATAAAATAGCAACTGAAGTTCATTGTCTCAAAAAACTTAACAGCCTGGGAAAAAGTTCACAGTATAATGTTAAACAAATGTAGCAGACCATACAAAGACTATGTATAGTGTGATCCCGGTTTTTCAAACTTAAAAATATATATATACACAAATGCTTTAATAGAAGCAATGCACCAACAGGTTAATAAGGGCCACATCTGGGGGATGTGACTTTTGTGATGCGTGTTTTATTTTATTTACATTTTTCTGTAATTTCTGTTTTGAACACATATTCCTTTTATCCTCAGAACAAATGTTAATTTTGAAAAAACGATTATGGTACCATATTATTTGGGGGAAGTTTATAAATATATAGCTATGTATACACACATATATTATGATTATAATTATTTCAAACACAGCAAAGCTGTATGTATAAAAAGGATGGGAGAGAAATTCATCAAAAGGCTTATAGTAGTTGTTTTAGTGTGATGGAATTATGAGTGTTCCCTTCCTTCCCTTTTCTCTGTTTATCTTTTTTCAACGTAAAAAATAGAGAAACAACCACTCAGCCCTTACCCACTTGTGGGGAAACTATTGACTTGATGATAGGGGAGGCCCTGCCTTGTGTAAGACACTGTGCTGGGGGCTTGGGGCCGCTATGGTGCCATTGGGTTTTCAGTAGGTATTAATAGGAAGTTGCTGGAGGAGTGTTCACTGGAAAGGTCTAGCTGTTATTTTCAGTGTTGATCAGCCAAGAAATCCTTCTGACCCATCAGTCTAGGAGGAGGGAGATAGAGAGAGGGCAGGAGTGACTGGTAATAAATTAATGAGTGGGACAGGTCAGTAAGTCATTAGAGTCTCAAGTGGCAGTGGCACATCAAAGACACAGGACAAATCCATTATTTCAGTGAGCAATAAAGGAGCTCAGTTATTCACTAGGTGTCTCCTCTTTGGAGGAGCGAGGCCCTTCCTTGGAAGGTGGCAGCTGTGATACTTACTGATGGAGCCCAAAGCGATCTCTTGGATAGGGTGGAGAAGAAGCCTGCTTTTCAGAATGCTCTATGGATGTGAAAATAGGGTAAAGATACTTTTAAACGAATACCTTGACCAGCTGTCTTATTTAGGAAGAATCCAAGAGAAAGGGATACACATTTAAATGTGTTCCTGAAGTAAACATTTCATAAAGGGACCACTTGCCCTTTACTAATTATGAAAATCTGCTGTGGCCCTCCCATTGTAGCATCCCCATCTTGGTAATTTGTTTACGAGACTGAGGGGCGCGTCCTGCACTCTTTCTGGGAAAGACATAATCTACTTTGACTTTTCTTCCCCAGATTATTCTGGGACTCATTTATCAGATACAAAGTGATATAGAAACAGCTCATATATCAGCCTTTCAGTGAGAAATGTGAGCTGTCGGCAAGTTCAGGGCAGTACTCTTCTCTGATTCGGAGGAATCGAATCATCTTGTCCTGAATCTGTTCTCATTTCTTGACATCTAGTCAGGCGTCACCTCCTCTCTGAAGCCCTCCCCAAACCAAAGCCCCCTAATAGAATCCATCTCACCTTCTTCTCCACTTCTAGAGCACTTTTTCCATTCCACAGTCTTGGTCTGGTGTGTGTTGGGTGTGTGGCCTACACCATTCATTCAGGCTAGACACCTTGTCTTCTTCCTCATTATATCCCTCCATGGCCAGCACAAAGCAGTTGCTCAATTGCTGAGTTGAACTGAATTTTCACTTGCAAATTAAATAGAAAACATATTCCTAAAGTATTTAGGTCTTTCCCCGAGGGAAAGTCTAGACCCAATAAAGTGGGAATGGAGGGCCGTGCAAGATGAGAAAATCATGATATTCTGTTGTATTGTTTGTGGAGAGGTTTATAAAGGGGGTTGGGGATTTCCTTCCCTCGCAGAGTCATTGTGGTTGGAAAGAGACGGACAAAGATAATTTATCTCATTCATCCATGAATAATGAATGACCTGCCACCAGGGGCACTCCTGGACCAAAACACACAGTTTATTTGTCAAGGGATGGCTCAAAAGCAGCATGCTGGCCTCTGCAAGAGCATGGAGGCAGAAGAAAGCTATGTTGCTCTGAACCAGCCATGCAAGGACATGCGTTCAGTACAATTTAGAGGAAATTTTAGGATGAAAAGAAACATCCTGCAGTGGTAGAGAATAAGAGGATATGATTCAGAGAGAGTCGGAATTTTTCCCCTCTTAAATGGCACAAAGACTGCTCTGGACAATTGTTTTGCTTTAAGATTTGGTACATGTGCCTGAGCAGTGATGACGCCTCTAAGTGAGGCGCCCATTCTGGGGGAACCTCCGTTTTTCATTTTGTTTTGTGTGAGGCTTGCTTCTCAGCTTTGGAGCTGACCTCTGCTTTGAGCTGCTTATCTGCCTGGGCCTGTGACCTCGTGTATCATACCATGAAATCAGTTGTTTATTTTGTTTCTCTTGAGACTGTTTCCAAATATATGCATTTTTGCTTTTGTGTTTCAAATAGGAAAACTCCAGAGATGACAACCGAGCTCTGGTCCATCAGCTTTCCAATGAAAGCAGACTCTCCATCACTGACTCCCTTTCGGAATTTTTTGACGCACAGGAAGTTCTCTTATCTCCAAGCTCTTCAGAAAATGAGGTTTGAGCACTGTTCTCTGTTAAATGCCTCAAAATCTCTTTTGTTGCTTCGTTGATTAACCTGTTCAGTAAACACTTATTTAGAAACACCAAACTTGATGGCCCCTTTCTACGATTACATTCTGAGGGTCCTCTTATAACTCATACCCTAAAAGGCTCAAAAGGATACAAGAATTTAGAAAAAAAAGATTGTGAAAGTAGCAGATGCTGGGCACATCCTGGTTTCTGTTACTTGATTTGTTACACCTCTTTTTAATTACAGGTTAAAAATTGGACTTCTAGCTATTTGATAATGTAATATTTCCACTCCTGGTCCAGAAATTAGCATCTATTTATTTTTTAACCATTGAATTTGACCTATATTAGTTTATAATATGTAATAATTATAATTATTTACTTATATAATGATGTTATTTAAATTGATGCATAAAAGTCATACTTTCCTGAATAGGCAAATACCGTAGTTGGCATTGCTGTGTGTATTGATAATTTCACCCCTTCTGTTTAGAAGTACTAATCTTGTTTATTAATTTCCATAGACGATTCTTTTTTTCACAAATAGTTCAAAGACAAGTCACAACTCATTCTACCCAAACACTAACAAATTCTAAAAATGCAGCCTGAATCAATAAGAATTCTTATAATAATTAAAATCTTGAGTTTACTTGCCTTTTCCTTGTGAGAACAAATCAAGAAAGTATAAGAATTTTAATAATAGGTGTTTGCTTTGAACACCTCCTAGGCAGACTAATGTATGGGCCTCTTTGAAAACAGCATCTAAAATTATTTCTATAGGTTTGTAATGTGGGATTCAACATGATTGATCATTTGGAGTAAAGGTTTTATGAAAATCTGGCTTGATAATTCTCACTGTAATGTATATTATTTCTCCTTTCCCACAGATTTCTGAAGATGATTCGTACGTCAGTGACATAAGTGACAACCTTTCCTTAGACAATCTCAGTAATGATTTAGATAATGAGAGACAGACTTTGGGTAAGATTTAAATTACTTGATCTCTGAGAGTTTGGACCCTCACAGAAGACTAATAAGCATATATAGAGTACCTGCTGCAGACAGCGATCTGCAGCAAGGATTACGTCAGAACATTAAGATGGGGTCCCCACCCTCGAGGAGAACGTGAGTGCTCCTTGATGAGATAGCACTCATGTGAAAAATATATTCATTCAAATAAATTTGCTCATGCAAACTTCTATTTTATAAAGTAAAAATATGCCAATATCATGTAAATATAAAAAAAAAATTAATGCAACAGATACCCCTTATATGATAAAATATTCTGTCTGCAAACATATTAGAATATAGCTTCTTGCCTCCAGGTATCTAGTGTTTTTAATAATTTAGGAATTCTATAGGACTTATGTAATAGAAGGTCTAGTCTAAGTGGTAATTTAACTTCAGACTCTTCAAGATAACACATTTGAAAGTAATAAACTGCTGCCCCCTAGAAGAGAGGCCTCAAGGCATCCTAAGATGTCCCTTTGTTACTGATGGGTCCCAAGAGTGAAAATAGCGCCCAGGAAATGTAAGGTTGAACCGTGGGTACCTGGAGTGTCTGGTCCCCAAACAGGCATGATTTAGGAGCTCAGCGAGCAGACTGAAGCCTGTTTAGGAAGATGCCCCTAAGAAGAATCTGCCCATTAGACAGTTCTCTGCCTGGGTCCTGTAGTGTCAAATACTCCCAGTCTTGGTACTCAGTGTGCCCCACAGTCTCTAGGTTTATCTGTGTCGCTCACTGGATGCCCAGAGCACCACCTATTTTCATATCTTACACAAAGGAGAGGGACCATATCAGGTCCTTTTTGATATTTCAGTGCTTCCCGACTCAGTAAGTATGTGTGAGTATAATGATGATGAGTTGTTATCTGAATGCCAAAGAACCTGCTTTTTGGGGGACCACAAAAAGAGAAAGATAATTGTACCATCCCCTGGAAGCACATCCTTTGAGCATCACAATTGCTAGAAGTCAGATGCTTATTATGCTCTATCTTGCTTGAAATGTTTCTGGAGAGAGGAATCCTTTGGTGGAAAAGTCTGAGAACAGTTGGTTCAAAGGAGAAGACCAATAATACAGGAGCTACTTGTTTTTCGAGAAACAGGAATTGAAAGAGGAATGAAGAACATCACTTATTCCCTTGGCAAACAGCACACACACTAAAATGGGACTCCCACTGTGGATGAGGAAGACCAACAAATGCTAAGTCTTCCTTCTCTTTGAGGCCTTAGGGAGGGGGCTGAGGGGAGCACAGGGATGGAGGGTTCAGAGGTCAAAGTTGAGAACAGAGGACTTGCCCCAGAACCTAAGACTACAGCTATACTGAGTTGACACCAGCCTGGAAAGCATATATAAGAAGTTAAGCCTGGTTCTCTGTATCTTATTCCACAGCCATTTTGCTGGAGTGCTGACCAGTATTGCCTTAGCACAAATAGACACTGGGCCAAACCCAGCTCTTCTTCTGCGGTATTTGGCAACAAAAATAGGTGTCCTCCAGTTTAATTGTCTCTGAGGAAGATTAGATTTCTAAACATTGGTACTCTACTGAAAAGTCTGGATGTGGAAGAAACCTTGGCCTCTTATGAGACAGGTTTGCCTACAAAAGGGAAAAGGATTAGATCAAGGTCTTGATAAATTATTACACTAGGATTTCTCTGACATAGTAAATGCTAGGTATTTAGGAAGGTAAATGCTCCCTATTAATTTCTTCCCCCCAAAATCAGTAGGCACATGTTAGGATCTGTCACCGTGCTGGGTGCTGAGGGGAGATAAGTGGTTAGGAATATAGATTCAGGGACCAGGTTTCCTCAGTTAACCCCAGCTCTGCCACTCCCTGGTTATGTGTCCTAGGGCAAGTTACTTAACTGCTCTGTGTCTCAATTTCTTCATCTGTAAAATGGGGAGAATAATACTGTTTACCTCAAGAGATTGTTACGAAGAATAAGTGAGATAATATATGTAAAACGCTGAGAAGACTTGCTGCCACGGAGTAAATTTATTAGCCATTAGTAGTAGTAGTCATATAGTATTCTTTCAAAATTTAGGTTAGTGTAATCAAAGAAAATGTTTTGAGATTACACAGAAAACTGTTTTTAAAAACTATTATCATTTGCAGCTATTTACTTGTGTAAATCAGATTTTTGCCCATGTTGAGCAGTTAAAACAAATTCAGCACTTCATTGGTTGCTCAGATTGACATGAAACTGCAAAATATGACCCGTTTCCTACTTTTCTGTTCATCAGAGAAGGCTCTTTATTTATTCAGAGTGATTGGCTTTATAATGAATAAATGCTAAATATTTATTTTTACTAACTAAATATAAACAGATAAAATACTGCTTTCTCATATGTTGGTCTCAAAATCTTGGTTTTGCACTGTTGTATGTTCTCAATGCAAAAGACTTCATTTGAAAATAGGCTCAGTTTGGATAGGAAAGAATTTCAGAGCATGAAGCAATGGAAGTTGTCACAAAGGAAAAGATTGATAGATGTAAACACCTAAAATGTACATGTTTCATTCATCAAAAAAACGCATGGACCAAATTTAAAGGTAAATGTCAAATGGGGATTAAATTGTAAAACAAATATAAAAACAAAAGATTATGGTCTTAATATATAAATAGGAAAGCAGACAATTCAGAAAAAAGGAAATATTCATGAAGCATTCCAAACTATACTAGGAATTTTTTAAATGGAGGTTAAAACATGTAGATAGCATCATTCGTTTAACAATTTGCCAAAAGTTAAAAATGAATGATGACAAGCCTGGAAAGTTCTCAGGAGATGGACCCTTACATATGCGGCTGATAAATGTGAAATCGAATACAGCCTTTTTGAGGAGCCAACTGATCATATGAATCAAAAGTCTAAAACTATTCAGTCTTTGACATATTAATTCCACTTCTGTATATCCTAAAAAAAATCAGATATATAATTAAATATCTAAGAATATGAATATTCTCTGCTTTTCTTTTTGGATCATAGCAAAACATTGAAACAAATCTAAAAGTCCAACAGTAGATGAAAGATTCAGTAAATTATGGCATATCCATAGCATGGGATTTTTGAGTCGTTAAAAATGATGTTTTAGAAGACTTTTGAATAGCACAGAAAAATACTAATGTTAACTGAGTAAGCAGAACATAAAACTAGATATACATTATGAGCTATATGGATGGAGAAAACGCTGAATGGAAATAATCCAAAGTGTAAATGGCTATTGCTATTTCTGGGTAGTGGGATAAAGAATGACTTTTATTTCATTTATAGTTTTCCTATAATAGACACAATTGTTTTTATCAGAATTTGCAGTGATTTTTAAAAAGAGTTTGAAAGTATAAATGGTAACCTGCTATGCGCGTAGAAACCCAGTTTAAGTTTATGGTAAGTGTATATAAACTACAAGGAACTGGCTTTTGAGTGGGAGCTTAAAGACTTCCCTGTGAGTAAAGTCTATGAGTTTTAATGCATATAATTTTTGGTACTTAGGTTAACTGTGCAGAATTCTTTTTATTTTCTGACTTTCCGTCATATTCTGGATAACAGATTACTGGGAAAATTGAGTACTTGCTAGGTGAGGTTTTATTTTTGGATTTTTTTTTTTAAATAATAAAATAAAATGAAAAAAGCCCTAGAGGGACAACCAAGCTTATTTCCCTTTTAGGGCCTGTTCTCGAAAGCGGCGGGGAAGCAAAGTCCAAAAGAAGAACTTGTTTGCCGGCACCAGGTCACAACAGCAGCAACATCAGCTTGTGGAACATCCTGAGAAATAACATAGGGAAGGACCTGTCTAAGGTGGCCATGCCGGTGGAACTCAACGAGCCGTTGAACACGCTGCAGAGGCTGTGCGAGGAGCTGGAGTACAGCGAGCTGCTGGACCAGGCCGCGCGGGTGCCCAGCGCCCTGGAGAGGATGGTGAGGCAGCCACCTACCAACCACGTTATCCGGCTGAGCTGAGACGGCAGAGCTAGACCGCTTGTTTTCGTTTGGGTTGTTCTTTAGATGGGTTCATTTCTCAGTGACATCTGGCTCCCCTCTGCCTGGCTGTTTTCAGTCACCACGTCAGGGTTTGCCATTTGGGGGGGGGCTTCTCTGTGACAGCTGGTGTCTGGGGGTAGTTCTGCGCTACGGTTTTGCTCTTCTTCTTTCTCTAGAACCTTCCATGTGATTGTTATGATATGCATGCCTGGAAAACACGTTGAGGGCTGTCTGGGTGTTTATTTTTATTATCCTGGGTACACAGAATTTAATCTCTCGAGCTGTTTTTCTCCTCCAGGGTAAATTTCCCTTGAGAATGTCTTTGTTTATTTTTGGAATCGTCCCTTCAGCTCCTAGATTTTTGGAAAGTAACATTCACAGAAGAGGTTTTCACATGAGGAAGATTCTTCTTGTTTCTTTTTCCCTTTCCTTCTTTTATAGAGTAAGTTAAAAAAAAAAAAAAAAAAGCTCATCCTAGAAAAATTCACCTTCTGTTCTCTACTCAGTGTCACTTCCAATCACAGGTTTTTGAAGGGGCTTCCGGGTGTTTCGCGTCCTTCCCCCGTCCTGTGGGGATGGGGACAGAGGAACCCCAGTCATAAGATGTGGCCAGATCAACCTTTCTATGACTGTGGCTGACTTTGTTCTTCAAAACTGAATGTCTCTTCCTCTTTTTGGTTCCTCGTGTGTTACCTGCTTGACAGGAGGGTCATCTCGTGGGAGGCTGAGACCTCAGTGTCTTGCCCCAAATGCAGCGTGTCTGTCCTGGGCACTTGCTGATTAGCTAAATTGGTATGGGTGCATCCCTCTGCTGCCCAGACCTGGCCGTAAGCCTCCCTCTCCCTGATGGATGATACCATTGTTGTCTAAATTCTAAGCATTCTGCAGTTTAACCCTCATTAAAACTTCATTACTTTAGTGATCGGAAGATTAAGGGGAAATCTAACTACTGGCTGAAAGAGACATCCCATAGTCATTCCTCAGAGTCTCCAGGGATCTGCCATCAAAGAGACTCTTGATACTAATGATAATAAGAGTAGGAGAGAAAAACAAGCTGGGTGTTTTGGGTTCGTTTTGTTTTTTTCCCTTCTTTGTTACCGTTCCCCAGAGAACTTCTGCTGAAAAGGGAGGCAAATCGCTTCTAAGGCAAGTGTTGAAAGTTAGCATTTGTGGACAGTCTTTTCTTTAAAGAAAAGGATTGGTTTTGAAGATGAAAATATTCTGAAAGGTATTTCATTCTTGTGGCAATTTAGGGACCCTTGGGAGGTCAGCTGATTGACTGATAGAGTTGACCTTGAGAGGAGGTTTGAGGAAGGGCCTCTCGTTCCAGCACAGACATTAGGAAGGGAAAGTATGGGAAGGCGCTGATCAGGAACGGTCTCCCCTGGGATGTGTTTACTGCTCTGTGGGTCAGCTTCTCTCTCCTGTTGCTCGCTCAAAAGGAGAATGCTTCATTGTGCCTGCTCTCTCCCTCCTTTCTCAAACCAGCGTTATGAATGATACCAGGTTCTTTGATCAATTTCATTGTATTTTAAATACTGAAGGTAATTCTGGGTCAATTCAGCATTCCATACAGACAGTGTGACCTTCATGTTTAATAGGTTACAAACATTTAAGGAAGCAGAGAAAGGAACAGATACCCAGGTTTCAAGAACAAAGACTGAGTTGTACACGCTGAATTGGTTGTTATAAGCTCTCCAACTGCTCTGGAGTGTTCCATAGTGTGAGATATTAAGGTGGGTCCTATTTGCAAAAGGGTAAGAAAAGTTATATAACTAGTGAACATTTACAAAAGGCACTTGGCTTTTTTCCCAATATAAGAAATCTTCATGAAGTCAAGATTGTTACTCCATATTAGAAAGGAAAGTTGCTGTCTCTACTTAGGTTTAATTTTTTGCTGCCCGCCCCCCCTGAAAAGACAGAAAGAATCGTCTATCTCTTTGGTGCCTTGAAAGGGGAGCCGATAAAAATGCCAAGCTCCTCCCAGCGAGGCCCGTGAAAGGATCTTGTCGTTTCATGTTCTCCGAGAGTTTGCCTTTTTGATTTTTCGTTTTTCCTCCCAGAAAAGCAGCATTTTTTTAAAAGGCACTATGCTGTCTCCTATGGCTTGTTGCCCAGGCTCAGGAAATGCCTTTCACAGGTTTTCTTTTGTCAAAATGAGTTTTTAGGTTTCTACAGTATAAAATTAGGCATGGTTAAACTTGGCATGCTTATTCCTGAATTCTGAGGGCAGTTGGGTTTTTTTATGCCCTTCTTGCGCTTCCCCCCCAAAAGCCTTAGTGTGACATCAGGATTCTGGGATATTGGCAGGTCGAGAGGGCCTGGACTCAGCCCAATAGCGCAGAATCAGTGGACTTCACTTGGTAAATAGCATGTCACGAAAGCCGCTCCCAGCTTTTAGGTATCAGAACAAATGGACAGTTTGAAAATGTTTAGTTCCTTGGTCTCTGGGGCCAAATGAACATTATTTAAACCTGCAACTTTAAACCAGAGAGAAATCTTTGGTTCTCCAAAATAAACCATAAAGAGAGAAACAGCTTTATTTCATTCCTGTCTTCCTTTGTAAAAATAAATTTCTCCATGGCAGAGAAATCACACGGTTCTTTCCTCCCTCTCCTAGGTGTACGTGGCCGCCTTTGCCGTGTCGGCGTACGCATCCAGCTACTTCCGAGCGGGGAGCAAGCCCTTCAACCCTGTTCTTGGAGAAACCTATGAGTGTATTCGCGAGGACAAGGGCTTCCAGTATTTTTCAGAGCAGGTGATATGCATGCTTTTGTTTGTTACATACACCCTTTGTCTACTTCCACTGGAGGAGTTGCTCATGCCTCCTATTACATGTGCTTTTGAAATATTTATTTTCCACCTTTCACTGGCTTCGGAGAAACTATGATAATTACAGAGCTTTTACACCAAAGAGAGGGATCGATTTCCCTTCCACTGAAACCTAGCCACCACCGTGAGCATAAAGGCACCAGCAGTCTGAGCCCACGCTGGACCATAGGCATCGGCCATGTCCTTTCTGTTTAAAGTCATAGTGAGAAGAATTTCACGGTGTGAAACATTCCCCAGCCTTTGATCTGGAGGCTTCAAATGTGCATCCTTACTCCTTGACATTGTCATTCGAGAGCATGAACGCCCCCATCAGAATAGGTAGCACTATAAATGCATTATTCTTGATTTTGGTTTAAGAGCAATCATTCATCCATGTATTTATTCAATCCATCAGTATTTCTCAAGCATATACCATGTGCCTGGCATTGTTCCAGGTGCTGGGAGGCTGCACTGGGGTGGAGGCTGGGGGCAGACCAGAATGCCTGTCCTCATCTGATGGATGGACATACTTGATACTCACGCAGCCTGAGTTCCCTGAGGTTCTGTGAGACTGTTCCCACCTAAGAATTAGCGGGGAATGATATTCAGGAACAAAGAGCAGTGTCTCTGGAGCCAGACAGCCTCGGTTCAGATCTCAGCTCTAGCTCTCGCTGGGTTTGTAACCCAGGACAAGTTACTTAACCTCTCTGTGCTTCAAGTTCCTCTTTGAAGTGGAGAAGGTGATGATAGCACAGCCCCCAGATGGCTTTGTGACCGTTACATGAGTTTCTCTCCACAAAGCACTAGAGCAGCATCTGATACGTAAAGTGTTATCTGAGTGTTCACTGTCATTATTGGTATGCGACAGCATCATTAGCAAGAGTGGAATGTTGGGGACATCCAAAATATCTCTCACTAAGGAATCGTTTAGCTAAAATACAGTGCATTGATACTGAAAATAAAAAACAATCCTCTCCCGCCTGGTTAAGGCAGCAGCTGAACGTGTCCACCCCCTGTCTATCCCTGAAAGTCAGCCTAGGAACATTAAACATGATTGCTTCGATACACTTCTTTCCTCCCAATTCTTAGAAAACTGAAGAGAAAGGAGTGGGTTGCTAAAATATTAGTTTTCTTTTTTTTTTTTAAAGATTGGCACTTGAGCTAACTGTTGCCAATTTCCTTCTTTTTTTCTTCTTCTTCTTCTCCCCAAAGCCCCCCAGGACATAGTTGTATACTCTAGTTGTGAGTGCCTCTGGTTGTGCCATGTGGGACACCGCCTCAGCGTGGCCTGACAAGTGGTGCCATGTCTGTGCCTGGGATCCGAACTAGCGAAACCCTGGGCCTCCAAGGTGGAGCGCATGAACTTAACCACTCGGCCACAGGGCTGGCCCCAAAGTATTATTTTTCTTCCTGTCATCTTGCTGCCCTTTTTATCAATGGATTTGCAATATGGGGGTAGAAAGAGAAGGGTGGTGCGGCTAAGAGACTTGTGAGGATGGTACTTGTCCTATAAATGGCAAGCAGTGTTTTCTGAGACTCCAAGGAGAGGGAATCTACGGTAATCCCAGAGCACATTTTCAGCAGCTTTCCCGTTAGAAGCTGAAACGAGAAATGAAACACCGATATTGGGGTGGGTAGGGGGTTAAATCAGTAGTTAAAGGGATAAGATGATCTGACTCCAATTCAACCGGGTTATTTAACTACTAAACCTAGAAAGGAATGAGAATAAATGAAAATATAATTTGGTTACCATGGTATTATATGCACTCATGTGAAAAAATAAAGGCCAAAAATAGCCCGAACTACAGCGGACACTCAGGACGGGATGAATAGGCATAAGAAAAGAGTAGCAACGTGAGCTTGTGTGAAGCCAAGCTTCAATCCCGTGAGCCCCTGACGGGGCAGGGCCGAGTCAGGATCTGCTTGTGTGTCTGCCCTGGTGGGCTGGAGGGAGAAGGCAGAGCTCCTGGGCGCGGGTGCACAAAGCCGGAAAGAGCATTACATAACTTAGGCTTCAGTTCCATGACACAGATCCCAGAGAAATAAGCAAGAAACAGATCCAGTCATTGTTCGTAGCACGGGCTGCGCTGGGCGGAATGCAGACCTGCTGTCAAATCCTAACCCACTGCGTCCTCTACGTGTGGCCCTGTATAAGCTACTTAACCTGTCTGAGCCTTGGTTGTTTCCTAATCTGTGAAATAGGAATGATGACACTTAGCTCATAGGCTGCAGGATGGCTTAAGTGAAGTAAGACACTGATAGATACAGTACTTGCCCTGAGGATGGTAACCACTCAGAACACGGTTACTGCTCTTACATATAGAGGCAACTTTTAAAATGCTGTTTAATAGAGAGTGTTAAGAACAGTAAGAGGAGTGTTGAAATAAGATACACCACATCTACTCTACTAATTCAAGTGGTTTGAAGGGGGCATAATGTTACTGGTGAGCCTCTGACGGAAGCCAGCCATCAGACAGCCAGGAGTCCTCACAGCTGGCTTTACCATGGGAATACCATCAGTGCCACCTCGTCTATCTGGAATTTAGCCTTATGGCCTCAGATAGTTGGTTCTTTTAATACACCCAAGAATGGATGAGTCTATCAGGGATAGATTCACACTAGCTAAGCTTACAAGAGACTGACATATAAACTTGGATGCTACTATATGCATCTACTATGAAAAATAGACTTGCCACGGCGATCAGAAAGCTTTGGTCAGTATGACTAGGCCTGCTTTCCCCATAGATAGATTACTTGGAAAGCCAAACTGTGATCATCAGGTGAGTGTACCATGAGATGGAGAGGGGGCTGTTCGATTTGAGGTGCTAGGCTGCCCACTGCCCCAGGAGTGGAAAGGGTTTTGGCCAGGGCCTTCCTCCTCCTGAATCACAGGAGACAACAGTTCAGCCTCTCCCACTCCCTCCCCCACCCTTGTTGTTGATGCTGACCAGCTGAGCCGTTGTGCATGAAGGCCTTCTAATGGCACATGTCTAAAGAGAGCGCAGGAGCGTTTAGTCCATTTCATCCTAGTACCTGCCAGTGTGGCTTTTTCTGCCTCTGGCCCAGGAGACAGTCTACCTTTATGGAGACAGCACGACTCTGCCCTCGTCCATCACGTGTGGGTAACATGCTTCAGCTCCCAGGTTTGCGGCTTCTTTGCTTTCTCATACCTCTCTACAGTGAGCAGAGGTTACTGAATGACGAGTCTAACAAACTGGGCAGGACCCCACATTAACCTTTTGGGTGGAATTTTATTGTAATGGGAACGTTGATGGAAATCAAATCTCCAAGTGAAGGATCTGGAAAGAAACAAGGGTAATGGCCTTTCTGCTGAGTTTTCCAGACAGGAGAGTCGAGTGATATGAAAAGGGATGTCTGTTCCTTTTTTCCAAGGCCCTGGGTTTGGTGCGTCCGGGTTTGGGTGGGTGTGTGGAGGTTTCAGGTGGTCAGCGGCCAGGGCAGCTGAAGGAATGGCGCTTCACAGAGCTCAGCTACATTGCAGCTTGCCCCTCTGTATTGTTTCTCATCTGAGAAACTCGAAACACAGTATCAGAAGGACTCCTGCAGGCGGAAACCAGAGGGAGCATTTGCTGTTCATATTTTCCATATAACAATAAAGTATTAGGTTTGCAGAGTGCTTTATGCTTTTCTAATTTGTACGGGATCTTATTTGATCTTCAAAATACCCCCTGTGTGGCAGGCGAGGCGAAGGAAACTGAGGCCTAAAACATTAGTTAGGGCCCCTCACCTGACACCCTGTTTCCATTCCGGGGTCCTCTCTCCCTCACCGTTTTTGGGGTCGCTCGTATAGGTTTAGTTACTGTGCTCAGAGCAGCGTGGGCTGCCGATGTGAAAATAGCCTTTTGTATACTGTTCAGTTTATGGGATTTTGCCTGTCATTGTCACTTAAACCTTTTATCCTCTGAACTCACTTGGGACTTTGTTCCAAGCTCCCGTTGTGGGCTGGGGAGTGGCCTTTGTGAATGAGGAGCATTCAGGAGTGGATCGTAAACATTCCTGTGAGATGTGCTCACCTCTGGCTCTTCCACGCTCTCAGGGGAGGAGTTTCTATTCTGCCAAGAAATATGATTCAGCCTTGGCTTTCTAAATGAGCCCCGAGACGGGGGAGTTCAGAAAGAAGCGGCTTCCTTTCTCTCTCAGGGCCTGAGTATCCTGCTGGCAGGTTGTTCCTCGCTTGGCTCTCCTGCTGCCTGGCACAGAGCTGACACGCTGGTCGGGAGCTTCATCAGGGACTGGGGGCGTCAGAAACTCATTTCAGTGAGCTCTGCTCTTTTTGTACCTTTAGGAACGGCTTGGTGTCTAAAGGACCTGCAGTTAAGCTCTTATCTAAAAGTAGCTTTTCTTAATTAACTGGAACTTCCATGGTCAAATCGCTGTTCAGACCATTTTAACCATTTACCCCCCCAGCCACATGCTCCTGAGAGTTTGTGACAGAACAGCTGAACGGAGTTATTGCAGGTTACTAAAATGTAAGAGATTCAGATGAAGTCTTTTTCCCTTTGGTCTGTGGGCCCAGCCCTTCCTCCTTTTCTGCTACTTATCTGGAGAATTCTGAACACACATTCTTGCACAGGCTTGTAAATACCATACCTATCACTTCCCAGCTTGCAGACTAGTCACCACTCTGAATAGTTCTTTTATCTATAAGTAGGCAGAGTTATTTACTGCTGCATAAAGTGGCCTCTTATTGAGAGACGTTATCAGAGGGGAAATTCAAGCTGCTCAAATAAAACTAGCAACAAATCACTATAAGGCGAATGACCAGAGCTGCTCCATTTCTAGGTCAACACTTATTGTGGTTTTGTTTCTGTTTCTCTGCAAGAAGCCATGTTTATCAAATAAGTGATTAACTCTGAACATAGGAGAAGAAAAAATAATTGGCAGCTGCATTCTCCCCAATATCAGGGTAGTATCCTGGGCGTCATC